CCAAGGCCCACAGAACCAGGGGACAGCCAGCAGACCCTGAGGAGCGCCGACTGGCTCAGGCTTCTCCCCATGGATTCCAGGCAGGAGCCTCTGGATCCACCAGGAGTCTCCTCTGCCCCCACCTGCGAAGACACCTCATAGACACTCTTCCCTGGGACACTTCCCTCTGCCCTGCTCTTTGTCCTTTCTCCCATACTTTGGGAGAAATTTGTTCTTAATTTCTTTTCTTCACGGATTGCAAAGGCAGTTTTTTATGGTTGTGGTGGTGGTGATTTTTAAAGGAGGGTGGCCTCAGGGCAAAAGCTGGACCCCAGCAGTCATCCTCTCCAAGGCCTGGACCACTGTGCCTCCTGCTCTTGCTCAGTGTAGATACTCTCTCACCTTGAGACACAGTAGATGGAGACTCATTGGCCTTGAGCCAATGTAGACAGAGACTTGCTCCCTTTGTCCTAATGCAGATGGAGGTTCCCCCCTTGATTCATTTTGAGCTGGTGTCTTTGGCCAGAAAGAATCCTTTTCCTGGACTTCAGGACCCTCCATGAAGTGTGTGGGGTGGGCTACAGCTGTGGTAGACACCTCTTGCAGGGCATTGGAGACTCCAGAGTGTTCTATGGCTTCATCTCCATAATCCCATGTGCAGAGGGAGAGGTGGCTGTAAAACTCTTTTACATGCCTCCCATCAAGGTGTGAGGTTTATGTCTACTGCCTGGAAACCTGGATAGATCGGTAACCACCTCAAACAATAAAATATTAAGGCAATCACCAAGGCTAGGTGAAAATAGGCAATGAAGCTTCTGCCTTGCCCAGTGAAATCTTTGTACTGGAGCCCCAAGTTATCTTTCCCTAGGGACACCCTGACTGACCTAAAACATTCCTAAAAGGGAAAACCAAACTGCTTGCCCTTGTTGCCCCCTCTAATCCTGAAGCCCCAAAGCAGTCATTACCCATTTCCCTTAAACAGAGGGGAGAATGAAACCAGGGCAAAGGACAAATAGCTGATGATCAAAGAAAAGGAAATGGGCAATTAACACTTCCCAGCACCTGTTTGCTAGAGCCTCTGCGGGAGGGGAAGGATTCCACTTTTGAACACAAGCAATCACCTCCTGTAACTCTCTTCCAGCCTTTTGGTTATGTAGGCATGAGAAGAAAGGAAACCTGAAATCTATAAAAGAATAGAACAGCCTCACTCCCTCGGGCACTAGCTTTGTGCATCCCCTTCTCTTTAGAGGAGTGAGTTTCCCTCCCTCTCTCTCTCTCTCTGCTCTGTTTCTTAAATAAAATTTACTTAGGCTTTGGCCTCAGCATTTCTCCCATGTTTAATCTTCAACAGGGGGTGGCAGGGAAAAGGGCCTAATCCTGATTTTCAAGACCAGTATCACAATGAAGGGCAAATCTCATGACTGAACAGTATACAAAAAAGACTATTTTCACATCCACAACGAACAATTGCAGTAGCTTAGAGCTCAAAAACCAAACTTACACAAGGGACCCCAAAAAGAGTTAGGGAGAAAGGACATTGGACAGGAAAGAGGGGTCTGGAACCCAGCATCAGCTCAGACACTGGAAACTCGATCCTCAGGCCTTGGGGTCCTCTTAGGTGGCCCATCTGCACCCTGCCACACTGGGTGATTCTGGGCAACAAATAAGATCAAGTATTTGTTTGAAATTATAAATACTCTCTCTACAAACCTAATACTGCACTGTGATAAGAAAATCTGAAGTGCCTTTCTCTGGTTTCTGACTGCGAGTCACTGATATCGTGATTTTAACTCTTTTAGAGGAGAAACAACATGGAGAAGCAAGCTTCCATGTAGCCGAACTCTGAAGTAGCAGTCACTTCAACCTCTGGGGACATTTACTACCTTGGACATTCACACTCCCACCCAAACCACAAAGCAACATATACCAGGGCTGGGAGCAAAGAGGTGGATGTCACTTTTCAAATCACAGACTCTGTCAGCTAGAAAACTCAGTCGAAAAGCCCAGTTGTTTACTCCAGGCCCTTTAGCCTGGGGATAAGTTATCCATTTGTTCTTTCTTAGGATAAAATTTCATGAAAAATACTGATTTGGGGACTGCTCAGTTTATTACATTAGTAATTCAGGAGCCTGTACTCATTGTAGGGAGGCACAGGGAAACAAAGAAAGCCTCCAACTCCAGAAGGGTAGCACCTGCCCAAGAGGAAGGAGGCTGTCTCCACAAAGCAGGCTGTCTCCTGAGCCAGGAGCAGGAACAGCCACACTGTCAGGTAGCAGCCTGAAACCCACAAACACCCTGGCATTCTCCTTCACCCTCCTCAGATGGGTTCAATGAGAAGGCATTCATGTGGGATGAGGCATCTGGTTAGCACAGACAGACAAGGTTGGGAGAAAGTGTGTGCGTGTGCGTGTGTGTGTATGTGTGTTTTGAATTAGTGTCTTTGGTTGGTTAGAAGAAGGAGGACATGGCCACAAGCCCTTCCCACCTTGGGGGCAGGAGGCAGCTAAATATTATTTATATTGGATACTTACCAATGATTCATTTAGCTTCCCACGTAACCTGCTTAGGGGGAAATCATGAGTGCTTACACTGGCCAAAGCTCTCTGGTTCCCATGACAGGTCTGTTTTTCACAGTAAATGCACCTACAGCAGGAGCATTCTACCATATACATTAGTCTCTTGTAAGTTTAGCTAGTGTGAATCTATCCCAAGGGACTCATTCATCCTTGAACCATCTGAGACTTATAAGGTAAACTCCACACGACGGCTCCATCATGATCGGGACTGGTATTGATTACCATGGTGAAGCTGGCCAGCCATGAGGATCCCTGGCTGCCTAATGGGTGGCTTTCTGTCTTACCAGTGACATTCAACTGTGCTAACTAGAAGAACAGATTTAGCAGATCTTATTTTATCTTCTGCTTTTTCAACACTTCCCTTACTATTCTCAACATTTTATATTTAAAGGCACTTTTGAGTGTTTCCTCTAAATATAAGAGCAATAACCATTCACTGAACATTATCAGTGTATCATTTCATTTAAGGCTTACCACAACTTTTGAACCAAGTATTATCACCCCTATTGCGTACATAACAGAAACGACTGAGGCTCCGAATGTTTAAGTAGCTGACATGAGGCCACACCCAAGTACATGAAGTGGCTGGGATTTGAAGCAAGGTCTACAAATCTTACACCTTTAGAGTACTCCATGCCACTAACAATAACCAGATGTATCTTTCTTGCTTATTTCTTTGGGATGCAGTTCATGGAACTCATTGTGTGATAGTCTTTCCACGGATGTGTGCATATGCCCGGGGGACTCTGATCCTAGCCCCACCACAGCAGATACACCAGCAGATCCTGAGCTTGGCCCCACCCCATCAGCGCTCAGAGGAATGATGCTAAACTTTACACGAGCTCATGTTACTACTCATTCTTATAGCTATTCATCCTGCCCTGATTGTCTGCTGTGGTTGGGACTATTTTGGGCTTTCTTCTCTTTTTTTGTTTTTCCCACAAGACTGCATATAATGCCATAGTAACCAAATTATATTTTCATTTATTCTCATTCCATTTTAGGTTCAGTATTTAAATAACCCAGTTGAATTTGAATCAGACAGACCATCTTATCCCTTTAACTACTGGTTTAACCCTCTACCTCCCCAGGAACAGTGTTCAGTTTCTTATTTTAGTTCCTAACTGGGAAGATACTGATCATATGCTTTAGGATTATTATAATTCACTTTCCTTTGAGTTCCCAGAGAACGCTGCTTGTCATTTTCAGTTAAGACAATCCCATCTTCATGAATCTCATGGTTACACTACCCTTCCCTCTGACCCCCCTTCCCCAATAATGCAAATCTATTGACAAAGAGGGCAGCAAGATAAGTGAAGAAAGGAATATTTTAGCAATCCACTCTCCCCACCTTCCTTCAGTTTTCTAAGAATTGGGAAGAGACAAATGTATCAAAGCAATGATTTTTGGTGTCCCTCAGATGACCCTTTAGGTGTATATTACTGGTAAACATGCTCAATTGCTGATGAATGATGTAAGCAAGGGTGATTGTTTATTTTCTGAATGTATGCACTCTGTTTTAATTAAACAGCTTTCCTTATCAACAGATACTTTGGAATGTTCCCAGTATGCAACTACTGCATACTATGCCATTATGCATGAACAATGACATCAAACGTGCATAGAGTATTTACATGTCACTTATCAGACCCTGCTCTAGGTGCTTTGGAGACAGTAAGTCATTTAATCACTATGGAGCCATGCATCACATACAACAATCTTCACCTCCACTTTAAAGAGAAAGTAAGGCATAGTGAAGCTAAGTACCCCTGAGTTGTACAGCTAGTCTTAGGCAGAGCTGTAATCTGAACATAGCTGTGTGCCTTTTGTGTATTACTCTGTACTAATACTTATGTGGAAAGAGCCTAATGGAACCCCAAGTCATGTAAGTATAATGTTTGTCCACCCATTTGATGAGATCAGGGATTCTTGTTTGGTTCCAAGCTCCAAACCCACCGTAATACCCTGGCACCTGGAACAGTGCCAGGCACACGACATATGTTCAATAAATAACTTTCTGGTTTGAATCATTCATTCGAACGATTCCTCTTGAATCAAAACTGACAATAATGCAATTGTCTTGGTGCTACCATCACCCTGAGTGACCAAATTGATAGTTAGAGGGCACCCTTTTAACCTTTAAGTTACAACTGGGGCAAGTACTTCATGCTTTGAAAACTCCTTTCACTAATGATTCTCAAGAGAAAGGACATTGTTAATGCATGCAACCAAGCCAGCACTCAGAATTGCTAAGACCTTTGTGCCCACAGATGGTAGCTGGATTTCAGTGGAAGGGAAACGGATCCCCGGTTTTATGTTTCAAAGCACTGTAATTATCTTAGTTGCTTTGAAGCCAGTGAAAGGTGGGAAATAAACATTTTAGAAGCACATCTAATGGCAGGCATAAGCAACTTCTCCCAACAAACAAAAAGCATGCATATCCACCTGTTCTGAAAAAAAACTGAAGCCCTTGTCCTCTCGAATGCACTCATACGTTTCTCCAAGGACCGGGTTAAATGGCTTGCTCCCAGCTCGGAAGTAGCTAGACGCATACGCCGATATGGCAAAGGCGGCCACATACACCTAGGAGAGAAAGGAGAGGACTTGGTTATTTTTGCCTCACTAAGAAATTTTTTTTTTCACAAAGTAATAAAATAAAAACCTCAATTTCTGTCTTGGAGGTTTTATTTCAGGAAGCCAAAAATTTGTCCTTAATTTAAAGACAATTAAACCAACATAGGTTTAAAGTTGTTGGTTTAAATAATATTCATTTTGGCTCAGAAACAAATTAACCAAACATTTAAAACTGTCCACTCATTTTGATGCCTAAAATCTAGGAGATGTGATGAAGAGGATGACATTTACAAAACAAACTATGCTATTCAATGGAGTCTGGTACTTTCAGGCCCAACAGTACCTGGGAATCCTAATGTCATGGTTTCAGGTAATGGGCAGAGCATTAAAAAAAAAAAAAGCCAAACTTCCTCCAAAAATTCAAGAGTGAGTAAGCATCAAAAATTTGACCAATCACAACTTCATATTATAGAAAACTAAAAATTCATTTAGACCAAGGGAAATCTTTAAGAGTAATTTCCTGCCTCTGAGGAACCAGCATAAAATATAGTGGCTTTGAAGTTTTGATTTTCTGGGAGGAAAAGTAAAACATTTAAACAAAAATTGGGAGGGTAACTATATGTGAACATGAAATGAGAAAATCTTTTCATGGCCTTCACTGTGAGGACCTCAACATTATCAGCCCCCTTTTAGAGCATCTTCCTCCTCCTCCTCCTCCTCCTCCTCCTTCTTCTCTCTCTCTCTCTCTCTCCTTTTTGCCAAAAAAATTAAACTAAAGTATCAGTTTAACATTACAACTCCTAATATTAAGTTGTAATCATCTCAATATTTCTTATTCTCAGCACAATTCATGAAGTTTCTTTTTTCTTTTTTACAGTACTAAAAGGACGGAACCCGGGGTGCTTTACCACTAAACTATATCCCCAGACCTTTTTTATTTTTCCGAGTCAGGGGCTGGCTGAGTCACTGGGATTAAAGGTGTGCACCACTGTGCCCAGCTAATGAAATTTCTTATTTTGAAGAAAAACTGAGTGCTTTTTATAAATCTTCATGAGTCATTTAACTTCCTTTTGTAAACTGTTTGGGTGTTTCCTGTAACAGGATCCACCTTGCCACCTCATGCCACAGATTGCTCTAGAGCTACTGGATAGTTTATACAAATCAACTCATGGGCGGGGGATGTGGTAGAGTACTTGCTTAGCATGCATGAGGCCCCGGGTTCAATTCTCAGCACTGGAAAGAAAAAAAGCAATTCTGTACACTCATATTACACTCATATCAGTCCTACCTGTGACTGCCTGTGTTCTTTTTTTTTTTAATGATTTTATTTTTTAACTACATGACAGCAGAATGCATTACACATATAGAGCTACATGACAGCAGAATGCATTACACATATAGAGCACAATTTTTCATATCTCTGTTTCTATATAAAGTATGTTCACACCAATTCATGTCTTCATGTATGTACTTTGGATAATGATGTCCATCACATTCCACCATCATTGCTAACCCCCTGCCCCCTCCCTTCCCCTTCCACCCCTCTGCCCTATCTAGTGTTTGCCTATTCCTCCCATGCTCCCCCTCCCTACCCCACTATGAGTCAGACTCCTTATATCAGAGAAAACATTTGGCATTTGTTTTTTGGGATTGGCTAATTTCACTTAGCATTATCTTCTCCAACTCCATCCATTTACCTTCAAATGCCATGACTGTATTCTCTTTTATTGCTGAGTAATTAGAGAAATACAAATCAAAACTACTCTAAAATATCATCTCACTCCAGTCAGAATGGCAGCTATTATGAAGACAAACAACAATAAGTGTTGGTGAGGATGTGGGGGAAAAGGCACACTCATACATTGCTAGTGGGACTGCAAATTGGTGCAGCCAATATGGAAAGCAGTATGGAGATTTCCTTGGAAAACTGGGAATGGAACCACCATTTGACCAAGCTTTTCCTCTTCTCAGTCTATACCCAAAGGACTTAAAAACAGCATACTATAGGGACACAGCCACATCAGTGTTTATAGCAGCACAATCCACAATAGCTAAACTGTGGAACCAACCTAGATGCCCTTCAGTAGATGAATGGATTAAAAAATGTGGCATATATACACAATGGAATATTACTCTGCCTGTGTTCTTGAAACCTGGTATCTGTTCCTTTCTCTGCTTTGTGTTTGTAACCTGTGAAACAGTAACATCACATTGTCTTTGTGGAATGCTGAATGATTCTGAATCACCTTAACAATTTAAAATGTGAAAAAATTCATAAACGAGACCTTCGTGATGTGAGGGGTGGGGAGGGAGCATGGGGAAGACAAAATGAAGCACCTCCATTCCGGTTGGCGACACAACAAAGCATCTACACAGGAGAATATGGTGACCCCAGAACAGAAGACAAAGCCCACAATAAAGCTCCTGTTCAGTGGTTGTGCTGGGGAAGCTGTGAAGCCTTTTCTCAGGCTCAAGGTTAAGTTCATGGATCAATCAGCTGAACATTCTAAGGGTCTGTAAATTGCCATAAGAATGAAATACCTTTAAGAATACTTTCACCATCAAAGTCAATTGTTTTCTTTAAAGAAAAAAGCTGTCCACAATGTCAACTTTTAACATGTGCCTTAAAAACTATTTGCTTCCCTTTTTACAGCAGAAATTTTCTGGGCAAAAGAAACAAAGAAGTTAAAAAAAAAAAAAATCCACATAGCTTGTTTTTCCTTCCATCCTTATCATCATTAGTATCAAAAAAGTCTTTGATGGGGGAGGAGGTCCGAAGCCTGAATGGAATGAGAATGGGATGTCTTTTTTGGTCAGCATGAGATTCCCTTTAATCTTCAAATCCCTGAAGTAATGAAGTTTTCATGAGGGTTAAAACTGCAGTATGCTTAGCATTTAGAAAAGATTTCATCCTCCACTCAGGGAAGGGGCTGGCTGGGTGAGGTCTGTGAAGTATGCCTGGGAGAGAAAGTCTGCACTTGGAGGACTCTGCAGTCTCAGTGCCCCAGGCAGGCAAGGTCCTTACCACTGACCAGGTCACACGTGCAGCGGGCCAAAACAACAAAGTCAGAAAAAGCTTTTCAGTAGTTTCAAGAATAAAGTTACTGTTGTTGTGTAAACTCCCTGTATAAGAGGAAGGAAAAAAGGGAATCTTTCTGATGTAAAAACCTCTTCCATGAATGATATTTTCCCCAAACTTAGGAATTGATTGGACAATTCCAGAAATAAAAATGGTCTCTAGGGAAATTTACTCTGGATGAGAAAAACTGCTCAAGAAATTAAATTCTGCCCACCCAAGGCAGTAAAAAAATAAACATGCTGACAGCCTGAAGGCCATGTTTTGCAAGCCAAGCTGATCAGAACCATCAGATGGAAGCTTCTGGAGAAAGCAGAAGCACAAACCACAAAGCAGAACCACCCTAGGTGCCAGCTGTTTCAGAGAGGCCCCTTCCCAGCCCAGATCCTGGCCAGATTCCTATACAGTGAGGGGAAGGCAGCAGGTATCTCGGAGAAATGAAACTCTCTCAGGAGCCACATGAGAGCCAGAGGGGACCAGCGTCTCTTAAGCTCCACCATCTTGGCTCTGATGGGCCTGGTGAGTGGCCACGTGCCTCAGGACAGAGGCTGCGCAGTGACCTGGGAAGGCTGATCCTCACCATCCTTTCCAGGGGACTGGGGATTTGTGCAGCCTTGTCCAGCAGCTCACTGTACTCCAGCTCCTCACAGAGCCTCTGCAGCGTGTTCAGGGGCTCATTCAGCTCCACTGGCATGGCCACTTTGGACAGGTCCTTCCCGATATTGTTTCGCAGAATGTTCCACAAGCTGATGTTACTGGTGTTGGGACCTGGCGCCGGCAGGCAAGTTCTTCTTTTGGACTTTGCTTCCCCACCACTTTCAAGAACAGGCCCTGAAAGGGAAAGCAGCCTGGTTGTCTCTCAAGCCTTTTATTTATTTATTTTTAAATCCACCAATAAAAGCTAACCTATCAAGAATCCATTTTTACTATTCAACTCAGTTAACCGGAGCATGACTAAAAGCCAAAAATAAGCGAAAGAATTTTGAACAATTATATATCAAAAATTAGGGCTAGCAGTGTAGCTCAGAAGTAGCACACATGCTTACTATGTGCAAGGTCCTGGGTTCAGTCCCCAGTCCCTCTATCTACCTACTTCCCTAACTACCAAAAATTACCACAAAGAAAACTCATGGACTTTATTTATAGGGAAGCCCTTAAGTTCCTACTCAAAAGCTAGTTCTTCATTGCTTTTATACACTCGGAATAAAACTGGAAATTGGATTTCTGTGACTATAGCAGGTTACATTTATAAAAAACTTAGAGACTTTAAAAAAAATCACTTCAAATTCTGATAAAAACAATTGTGTTTAGTACAGAAGAGCAATAAAGGAAATAACAGTCATCCATTATTCTACCCTCCACCCTCAACAGCAGCCATTTATGTTTTGGAATATCTTCATTTAGTGTTTTTTCCAACCATATGCATAGTTTTATGTTCTTATTCAGCTAACAGAAGTATTTTTCCCATGTTACTTAAAATTCTCTTAAAACATCATTTCAAATAACCACAAAAGTATTTCACATTATAAATTTGCCATGATTTATTGTTATTCATATTCTGTTGGACTATTAGATTCATTTCAATATTTTCTTATGATGCAAACAAAATAAAACCAGCAAACAAAAAGTCAGAGTGAACATTCACGTATTTAGTAATCTATTTGATTATTTCCTTGGCATATAGAGAAGCCTGATGACTATGTTAGAGACTGGAAATTTTTAGACTGTTGATTAATACAATCAGAATGCTCTTCAAAAAGTCTACCAATGTCCTCATCTTTTGACAGCAAATGTGAATATTCATCTCCCAAGGCCTTTTTACTTGTCACTGTTCATTTTTAGTTTTTGTCACATTGTTAGATGGACGATGCTATTTTCTTGTTTTAATTTACATTTAAGAACTTTCTAATGTGGTCTGAAATGCTGTCATGAACACTGCTTTTTTTTTTTTTCTGAATTGTCTGCCTTCCTATGTACAAATTTAAACCATAACCTTTCATCTTTTTATTTGCTTTACAACTAGATCCCCTTTTGGCCTTTACCTTTAAATTTGATCTGTGAAGTTTTGGGCAAATGAAATATTTACATTTCAGATATATAAATTTATTGATCTTTTCCTTAGCCTCATATTCTGAAACTCCTTTCCCATCCTAACTTTGCCTATTTTCAAATGATATCTTTTACATTACATCAATATATCTTATCAATATATCTATGTACATATTTACTTATTTAACACTTACTCATTATAAAGCAAATAACTCTGAATAAACAAGTTGCTTTGATGAACAGATGAATACAAAATTGAGTCCCTACTTTGCAGTCTCTTGTAAATCTATGCAAGCAATTAATTGTTAAATTTGTTTTACTAGCTTATATGGGAAAAATAGGACACAGGGAAGTAGCTACAATTGACAGTAGTTTTTAAAAACACCTTTACAGGCAGTCTCAAAATATTTTCTTTGATTATGCTAATCTAAATTTTGAAATCCTCCTCCACCACCATAATCACCACTACTATTGGCTAATGCATATTTTGCTTTTTAAACTGTGAATGTCAGTCTTCTAAGTATTTTACACATATTATTCTCATTTATTCTTTATGACTACCTCTTGAGGTAAACAGCAATATTATTCCCATTTTATAGAGGAAGAAAATGAGGCATAGAGAAGTTAAGCAACCTGCCCTGCCACACATAGGTGGTGAGCAGCCGACCTGGAGTTGGCTAACCATATTCTTAGCCACTTAACCTCCTCTTAGCACTCAGACAGTGACTGATCCTCACATGTGCCAGATAATTTTTTTGAGAAAGAAATTAACAGGAAACATTCTAAATACCTAGTGTTTACATGGGCTCCAGGGAATTCAAGTGTAATATGTACAAAGACCTTGATTCAATCCTGTTTTCTCCTATAGGCTAAACAAGGTTATAGGACAGAAAAGTTATTTCATTTCTACATCCATCTTTGAAGATGTTTAGAGATCTAATCCTCCTTAGCGGATGTCTGTAAAGAATGGAGGAACAAACATTTTTAGTATTCAAATACGAAGAAGAAAGCTCAGTTCTGCCCAGTGTTTGTTTAAGTGAGGGCAACACTAGCAGAACACAAATAAGTCAGAGAGAACCAGCTCTGGCCTGTTCTAAGAGTCTTCTGGCTCTTGTCAAGCCAGCACAGCATGGTCTCAGGTTCTAGACCATATTCTTTATTTCAGACTTTGGCCTCTGAACTCTGCATGCTACAAGGACCAGTGCAGAGAAATGATTACTTGGTAGATTCTTTCAAGGGCACCTTCCTAAACAGGCTTTTGTGTGCTCATGAAAAGTCCTCCATCAGAGCTGTTTGGAAAAATCCAGACTCTCCTTGTACCCCACGGTTCAAACTAGCATTAAGAAATACCTTTCCCTCTTGCAATCAAGCAGTAATAAGGGGACATCTTAGGATACCTTGAGGGAAGTGTGTTATTTTCACGTGAATTATCTTAAAGAATCTGACTAAATTACCTCTTACACTCTAGATCTTTTATTATTTAAAACTCTTAGATTCCCAAAGGAAAGAGGCTATATTCTAATCTGTTTGCCGAAAGAATATTTTACTGCCTAAAGGACAGCTGTTATATCATGTTTAGATACTCACATAAAACTGGTATACTTTCACTTTATAAAATAAAAATTCACAAAAACAGACAAAGTTATTTAAATAAATTTCTCTTTCAAGTGTGTGTGCTGTCTCTTCACCTAGATTGTAAAACCATGGAGTGTGGGGGCCATGTGCTAATTTTCTTATGTCATGTTGCTAAAGTTCTATTTGTGGTAGGCATTCTATGTATACTTATTAGGATTCCATGAAGATGCTAACTTTCAGAGATCAAATAATGCAAATCTTACCCAAGGTCTGTCTTTCATTATCTAAATCATTACTGAGATTATCCAAGGAAAGATTATCACTTATGTCACTGACATATGAATCGTCATCAGAGATCTATGGGAAAGAAGAAATAATATACATCAGAATGAAAATAAACAAAAGCTAGACTTTTATAATCCCCTTATTTTAAACGATCAAACATACTGCATCCTATATTACAAATCTATAGAAATAATTTTGGATGCTATTTTCATAGAGGCTAATACACCCATCTGCCTAGACAGTGTTCACAGGAAAATACCTGTTATTAAAATTCTTATATATTCTTGGTTAGTTCTTACAAGGAAAAACAGCAAGTAAACTCAAAATTTCTGTTATTATGAAAACTCTTATTAATTCTCTTATTAATTCAGACTGCAATTTCAGAATTTGTCAGTGTCTGAGAGTCTGGTGTGGAGGTACATGCCTGTAATCCCAGTGGCTCAGGAGGCTGAATCAGGAGGATCAAAAGTTCAAAGCCAGACTAAGCAACTTAGCAAGGCCCTAAGCAACTTAGCAAGAACCTGTCTCACATAAAAAAACTGAAAAAAGGGCCAGGGATGTGGCTTAGTGGTTAAGCACCTGGGGTTCAATCCCTGGTACCAAAAAAAAAAAAAAAAAAAAAAAAAAAAGAAAGAAAAAACAATTTGTAGTATTTGGGTAGAAGAAGTTACCATTTGTCTTTGAAATGTTTATGGAAAAAAAGGTCTTCTATGGGATTTAATATACAAACAAGATAAACAAGATTACTACTTCTATACTTAAGAGGCAATATTACTAGCACATACTCATAGTAATGTTAATGTTAAATATGGTATGCAATATTCAAGAAAGTATGATTTTTAAACATTAATTTAAAGCAGTTTTATATTTATAAATTAATTCTATAATAACCACATAATGGTAACAATATAAAATTACGTAGCATATATTTATATGATTAAAAATATACAGAATGCTAATTTCTTTCCCTTTAATGGAAATATTATTAAATAAGTAGAAGTCAGAATTATCAACTTGCAATTTTAAAAAAGTGTAATTAAGTAACAGAAACAAGGAGGTTTCCAAAACTCTCCACTTTTACAACTGTTTTTCTTTTAGTATATTATTTCATTTTAGGCGTTTGGGGGTATGACTTATGAAAGGACCTTCAAAAGGGGCCGAAGGGGCCCCCGAGCTTAGTGTTACAATATACAGATCTTTACTGAACAGGTTAATCAACAAACCCACAAAAGAGATTTTCAAGACACCTAGCTGAAAACAATGCCCAAACCTCATTTTCTGAAGAGCTTGGTGACAACAGAACTTCCTGTGCATCAAAAAACTCCGAAAGGGAGTCAGTGATGGAGAGCCTGCTTTCGTTGGAAAGTTGGTGAACCAGAGCTCTGTTTTCATCTCTGGAGTTTTCCTATTTAAAGAACAAACAACAACAATAAAAAAAATGAATATGTTTAGAAAGAGTCTCAAGAGAATCTCAATAAACAAATGATTGAATTGCATAAAGGTCACAGGCCCATGCAAACAAGCAACTCAAAGCAGAGGTCTGCTTCAAAGTCAAGGAGTGTTAAGCCTCACAAACAAAATGAAAATGAAGTTCTTCCTCAAAAGGGAACTTCACCAAGGCATCATCAACGCTCAAACACATGCCACAAATCTCACAGCAAAAAAAATGGCTGTCCAGGCCATTCTTTGTTCCGTTACAGAGGGGAAAATTCCAGTGCTTTCTGAATCATATCCTCTTATTCGCTACCACTGCAGGGTGCAGGGTGCAGTCCGCTCAATGATGCTGAATGCATGTCGTTGCATGGCTGGGTCGTAGCCACACAGCTTTCTCCTGCCCCTGAACTCTCAGAGGCCAATATTCTGCTTTTGAGGCGTCCCTTGACAAATAAATAGTGTGTTTTGGTCCAGAAGTGCCCCTGGTGGCAGATCATTCATTATTCATGGATAAGTGAGATGAATTCTCTTTGTCTCTCCACCCACAATGACTCTTCAAGGGAAGGAAACCCCAGATCCTTGGTATAAGCCTGGATACAAACACTCAATAGAGCACAGAGCCTTCCACCCTGCACTCCTCTGGGTCTAGACTTGTCCTTGGGGAAGGCGTAAATACCCTGGGAGTGTGATTTCTACTCTTGTTGGAAGTAAAAATTTAATTCAACCCAACATATTAAGTGACTGATTCATATGCAGTCTTAGCTGGCCATGGAGGACTACAAAGAATAATAAAAGATCTCTAGCTTGAAAGGCTGGTGTAGAGAACACACCCCAACACACTAGACCAAGACCATGAAGAGACCACGGGCTACAGAAGCAGAGAGGAAGATGAGATTGACTCTACTCCTGGGTGAGGGGATGGTTTCATGGAGGTGACATCTGACTTAGACCTTGAGGAAAAAAAAAAACAAACAGATTTAGGATTTAGAGCAAGATGATTTAATTCCTCGGATTCAGAGAAGATCATTCCCCTCGGCTTCTGGATGGCTGGTATTTTTCACTGTGCTGGTAAAAAAGCTGCTCTTATATTATGGTGTATTTATTAAACAAGTTCCAGAACAGTCTGGCTAACAAAATGTAGATGTCTTGCCCAGGGATTTAATGAGTTCTGGATACCTTGCTGTGTCTCATAAACATAAATTATGCCCAAGGAGGGGATGCTAGTACACGAGGGCCTACCAGAGTTCATAATTAATAAAGGGCACAGGGTCCCTTTAGGAAGTGTTCACTGTAGAACACATGGAAATATCTACCTTTTTCTCTTGGATTCTTCCTAAATAAGACCTTTGCCCCAGGTACTGGTTTAAAGATCTCACCTATTTAAATATCCATGTAGCCTTCAGAAAAGCTACCCTGACAGAGTTCATTGTAGAATCTATAAATGATTATCAAAGCTATCATCTTAAGGTAACAGTCTTTCTCCTCAGAAGAGCCAAGCACAGAGCTACTGAGCGTGAAGACACTGTAGTGAATACTAGTTAAGCTCCTTAATGCTCCCTTAAACAGTGAAATTTTCCTGTGTCTCCAGCATGCCCCGCCATATGAGATGCTAATGATTTATTTACTTGTGCTATTTATTAATTCATTACTACACTCTCCTGCTCTCTCTCTTCCTCCTCCTTGACTTATGGGTCATAGGGATGTCCTGGACGATCAACACTGAAAATAATACAGGTTGAGCATCGCTTATCTGAAATGCTTGGGAACAGATGTATTTTGGATTTCTGATTTTTCAATTTTTCAATCTGCACATACACTGATGAGGTATCCTGTGGACAAAACCCAAATCTAAACATGAAATTCATTTATGTTTCACATCATAGCCTGAAGGTCATCTCATTTAATATTTTAGTGTACTTGCATTTAAAATGAGACCTGTCACATGAGGTCAGGAATTTTCCACTTGTGACATCATGTTGGTGCTCAAAAGTTTTTGGATTTTGAAGCATTCTAGGTTTTAGATTTTTGGACTAGGAGTGCTCAACCCATATTCTTAACCCCTAACCCTTTCCGGTGGCCCCATTTCCAGGGCAAGTTCTTAGGAATGCATTTAAAAAGCTCATCTGGACAGCAGTAGCCACCACCTCTAACATAATTTCCTGAACAACTCAGGGCCTTATTTATTAAAATAAAAAAAGTCAGTTCAATTCAATAGTTTCCTGTTTCTACACAAGAGTGGTTGTTTATCTATTATTTACATTACAAAAAATTAAATAAATATAAAAAGTAAATATTCATAATCCTATCATACTAAAATAACTACTACAAACTTTTGGACACATTTCTCCCCAATCTTTTTTTTTTTTTTGGAGACAGAATGGGTCTCAGCATGTTACTGATCTTGAATTTGAATTGGTGGGATCAAGTGTTCTTTCCACCTTCCACTCCCAAATTGCTGGGATTATAGGTATAGGTCGCCACACCCAGCTATCTCTAATCATTTTAATTTGTGTAGCTTTGCTCTGTTTTAAAATAACTAATCATTACACACACATAATACACACATACATCTAATTTAAAACTCTTCCCAAACATTGTACCAAAATCAAATTTTCAATATTAATGTGTTGTAAGGATAAAAAAAATTCACATTAGAAAATACAGAAAAATGTAAAGAAAATAAATATCACTTCAATTTCCATCACCCAGATGCAGCGCTTACTAGCTTACTAGTATACATATTTTTAATTAAAATATTTGTATATACCTTTTTTATTTTGAAAAATTGGGATCAAATTGTACATTATCATATACTGTCTGCTACATATGCTTAAATTATACTATAAACTTTTCTCAGGTCATTTAAAACTTCTCTGAGATGATGAACTTTAATTCATATTTTATCATATTTATGTGTTATAGAGTAACCATTCCCTACCTTGGAAATTAAGGATGTTTCCAGATTTACAAAGATAGTGAGCATTTTGTAAATATGTCTTTGCTCAGATCTCATTATTTCTTAGATTCAATTTTCAGAAATAGAATTATTAAAAATGTTTAAGGATACATATTATATTAACAAGTAAGAGAACTTCTATTTACATTCTCATATTAAGGGCCGTGAATATCACAATTTAGAACTGCTGTGCTAAGTTAGCTATTTTACTTTTCAGTAGATTATATCTTTTTTTTTTTTTTTAAATGAGCTGTAGAGTTTAGGTGTAAGGAAAAGACAGGATAAGTGGTGCATGGGCCCTTCCTCTGCATTACTCTGTACCTTTCCATGAGTTTATGAAGACAACCATGTATTATAGGATAACATTTCTGTCAAAGGTCCCATAAGATTATAATAGAGCTGGAAACTTCCTGTTCCCTAGTGATGTCACATTTGTTGTAATGACAGTGCTAGGCATGACTTGTGTTTGTCATGCTGCTGATGGGAATAAACTTACTGTGCTGCTAGTTGTATAAAAGTGCAGAACATACAATTAGGTACAGCATAATTGACTATTTTACTGGGTTATTTATGACACTTTTTATTTAATTTTGGATTGTATTCCTCCTTCATATATGTATGTGTGTGTGTGTGTGTATGAAAAAAAATAAAAAAAAAAAAGTCAACTGTGAAATAGCTACAGGCAGGTCCTCAGGAAGGTTCAGAAGCACTGCTATCACAGGAGATGATGGCACCACATGTGCTGCTGTCCCTGAAGACCTTCTATGGCAAGATGTAGAAGTGGAAGACGGTGAGATTGGTGATTCTGATTCTGCGTAGGCCTAGGCTAATGTGTGCTTATGTCTTAGTTTTTAGCAAGAAAACATAAAAGGCAAATGCAATACCATAAAACATTTCTAAAATAGCTAATAGCATATAACCTTGGTGTGTAGAAGGCTGTCCCATCTAGGTTTGTATACGTACACTCAGTAGTGTTCACACAAGAAATCTCACAATGATGTTTTTCTTATAACATATCCTAGTAGTGAAGGGATGTAAGGCTGAATTGAAAAACAAAAGTTAAAAGCAAAAAATTTAAAAAAAAAAATGGTGATGCATGCCTGAAATCCCAGTGGCTCAGGAGGCTGTGGCAGGAGGATCACAAGTTCAAAGCCAGCCTCAGCAATGGTGAGGTGCTAAGCAACTCAGTGAGACCATCTCTAAATAAAACACAGAATAGGAATGGGAATGTGGCTCAGTGGTCCAGTGCCCCTGAGTTCAATCAGGTATATAAAAAAAAAAATCCACAACTATCTGCATTATATCCTTTTCCATTTACTTGCTAAGGTTTTAAGGTACTTGACATGATTTGTTCGTTGTTTGCATATTAAGCACACTATCATTGATTTAGTATCATCTAAGCTTGTCATTCTCACTGAAAATATTTTTCATAGTCTATTATTTGCCTTCCTATTTTTTGACAAAGTCCATTTTTTTCCTAAAAGAAATAGTCAAATCTAGTCAACATTACTTTTGCAATTTTTAAAGTACTTCCCAATTTAGGAAATTATCCCTGATCTAGTAGTTTGATAAATATTCAAATCAATATTTTTCAGTTTAAATTTTTATATTTAACTTGAATTGGCTGGTGATTCATTTTAACATGCAATGCAAAGACTTCAACTTCTTCACAAATTGCTTTGATCTGCACTAACCTAATTTATTAAGTAATCTATCTCTTCTCCATTGGCTTTTAATCCCTTTCTCATTTATTTATTTTATATATAAAATAGTGTTTGTGCCTGGGAGAGTTATGCTGTCCCATTCTTATATAGCATCACCATCTCATTTTAAATACTGGAGCTTCAGTGATTATTTTATTTTCCGGTGTGGCATACCTTTCCTCATTATATGACAGTGTGATGCTATAGAGCAAACGTGCTTTGGCTTAATTAATTAATTAATTTCTATGCAGTGCTGAGGATCGAACCCAGGACCTTGTCCATGCTAGGGGAGTGCTCTACCGCGGAGTCACAACCCCAGCCCCATCAGATAGGGATTTAAATCCCAGCTTTGTTTCTAAAATCTGTGTGTCTCAGAAAAGTTATTTAACCTCTCTGGGCTTTATTTTCCTTATCTCTAAAATGCAGCTACTTCTATCAGAGTCAAGGGTAGGATTTTGTGATATGATGCATTTAAATTTGCCTGCAGTGCAGCGCCAAGCAGGTAGGCAATTAAAATAATTCAGTTTCCTTCTTCACTTTCAGACTTTTTAAAAAAGTTTTTGCCTTTTTAGTCTCATAACTGCACTTTAAATGCAAAAGGATATATGAAAGGCACAGTGTACACAGATAATCTCAGCAACTTGGGAGGCTGCAGCACGGGGATCACAAATTCAAGGCCAGCCTCAGGAACTTAGTGAAATCCTGTCTCTAAATCAAATAAAAAACGGCTGAGAATGTAGCTCAGTGGTAGAGTGGCCCTGAGTTCAATACCCAGAACTGAAGAGGGGTGGGGGCGCGTAGAAGGCTGTTACCTCCAAAAGTCTTTCAGCCTTTCATTTGGGATATAAAATAATATAAAATCATCTTAGCACTGATAACCCAATAATATCAAATTTTCACATTCAGGAATTTAAAACAGGAGGGACTTGATAGGTTGTGAAAATAATTTCTGACAGGAAAAGAGGGATTTTAGAATTCAGGTAGCCAGATCCAACATCAAAGATGGGTAAGTTGTGCTGCTAACAGAAAGCAAGCACAGACATTAAAGACCCTAAAATCTGAGCCCCTTGGGCTGTTGGGGGCTGTAATTCCAGAGTATTTGAAGTGTCTGGGTGTTATCTACAAAAATCAACTGAGTCGAACTTTCATTTCTACTTCCTCTAGTGCTTATTTCCTGAAGGCAACAATGGCTTTCCCCTTGCTGGCAAAATAAGCCTGAGTCACTCTGTGCATAAAAGGACAACTCATGGGAAAAGAAAATCTCTAAAACAGGAAATAAAGGAGACAACTCCATCACTGAGCCAAGACTCCGGAAGGCTGTTCCAGAAGGTGTGAGTTTGAAAAATGTGCTTGCCACCCTCAAGGACAGTTTAACCACATGTAAGTTTTCAGGTATCTTATTTTTGAGATTAGTATAAACATACAGATTTTTACGTTAGTATAAAAATATAGATTTTTAAAGACTTGGGATTTGGATTTCCATCTCAAAACACAAATAGCCCAAATACACATGCTGAGCATAAAATCTTGAAGACATAAATGAAGGTTATCTATTTAACTATTTACTAAATGTATAAATGTAATTTACATGATAATGCTATGGAAAAGACAAGCTGTCTTTAGGAACAGTCACGACTGCCCCGGTGTTGGCCTGAATGACCCTCAGTGACGCCCTTCACAGCCTTGCCTAGGTTGCCTTTAGTGAATGGGCAGGTTTGAAGAGGCCCCACCTGGTGAGCACTTGTCTTGGAACAGGCCACAAAAGGAGACCAGTGTAAGTATTGCTAAGGGGATAAGTCCTGCAGGTAACACTTTATAGAGTTGGGCTGGAATAACTGAAAAGTGATCTTTTGGAGGGGGTGGTGTGTCTGTAGAGGAATCCCATTTCTCCACCTCTGCCATGAGCCTCTGCACAGAGGGTTGCCCTCTTGTCAGATGAATGGTCCTGCAAGCAAGTGACACAGCCTGTGCTTCAGTCAGGGAGACACTGTGGCCTTGTGGTCTCTATCCTGACTGGTTTCAGCCTCTGTTCTTCTCATCACTCAATCCAAGAGCTGCCCATGGGGCAATGGAATTGTGTGAGGGTTTTGTTTTCTTTGAAGACAGGAAAAGATAAAAGAAAGATTATGATACACATTTAAAAAAAATTATGCCAGGTGTGGTGGTGCCTGCACATAATCCCGGTGATTTAGGAGGCTGAGGCAGAGGATCACAAGTTGGAAGCCAATTGTACCAACTTATGAGACCTCGACTTTAAAAACAAAAAGTACTGGAGATGTGGGAAAATGCCACTGTGTTCAATACCCTGTACAAAAAAAAAAAGAAAAGAAAAAAGAAAGAAAAATTTATTCATATGTACAGACACCCTTTGTCTATTATCTTCCTTATTTTTTATTTTAAGTCTTTTCATTAGTCTCCAGTCTAATGAAAAGATCTTTTAATGTACTTTTTTCTGACCAAGAGACTTCAATTGTAATGCAATATTCTTTCCCTCAGAGTACATAGCTGCTGTGTTCCATAAAGGAAAGAAATTTTGCAGGAAGAGGAGGAGGGGACAGCAGCAACTTTTTCAAGCAAAAGAAGGAAGTTGGCAAGGAGCTGGGATGCTATGGGCCAAAGAAATTTAGTTTTCTGCAGAAACAACAGGAAAAATGTTTACCTCTCCAAAGCTCCCACTCCCCTAACACCTAGCTAGCAAAAGGGGTGATGCTTAGGAGGGAAATGAGAAGAAGAAATACAGAAGGAAAAACGAATTTGGGGGACACACAGTTTAAAAATGTGCTTAGCAGCATACATTCAAGAAAGCTTTGAATTCCGAAAATCCAGTCCATGTGGCAGCTGTGACAGCAGCTGGTGGTGGTGGAGAGGCAGCCCACTCAGGAGGTGCAGTAGGAAGGCCATGCGACTGGACAGAGGACATCTCACGAAGGGAGGGTTTCAGAGACATTACCTGGCAAGAAACCTACCCACCTCTGCCAGATTGTCACCCAGCTTGGCAACAGCGGGCGAGTCGAGGAGCAGAGACTCCGCATGGATTCTGCGTAAGCGTTCTTTAAGATCTGTGTTTTGTGCTAGGGCCTGGAACATGTTAAAAATAGTGGGGTTCTGTTAATAAATGGATGTTTCTGAGCAGCCCAGCAGGTACCCACAGAAGCACTATGTGGGAGCACCCTGATCCTCGGGGAGGCGAGTCTCAGAGCCAGGAGATAACAAACCCGCAACCCTGGAAATGCTGCTCTACATTACTCTCATCTCCAGGAGTGGAAGGAGAGTTAGTGAGGGTGGCAGAGAAGGAAGTCACAGGTACCACCAGCTTTTATTAAGACTAGTGGTCTCACAGAATCTCCTCCTCCTGCCCCACTGGCTTTAGTCTCTTTGACCAATACCCGCCTCCCCACTCCTGTGCAAAGATTCCAAGCTTTTCTCATCCTTGAAAAGAAACCACTCCCACCTTAGGGTTGGTTTAATTTTCACACCAGTTGAACTGAATCTTAGGAAGTGTGCCAGGAAGGAGGACACAGAAGATTAATATTACTTTTTTTCCAACACAGGTACTGATTATTTTATTTGTTTTTCATGACTAAGGTATTTTTTTTTTAAATAAACAAACCTAACTTACCTGCATAAGGATTTATGGACCATGGGAACAGAAACCTATATGGGACCTCTTTTACTCTCTGTGCAAATCCCATTCCTTCCATCAGCCTCTCAACTAGGAGAGACCTGGTCAAAGGTAAAGAAAGGAACATGCCTCCTGCTCACTGATCCTCCTACACACTTCCTGACCAGCTAGTCTCCAAATGGATCTGTCTTTGGATAAGGATGAGTGCTCCTGAACGTCCCCCAACACTCCCATAATCAGCTCCAGAGTTGCTTTCACACAGATCCATCCCATTTGTCTGACTGTTCTAAGAAGCTCAGAGACTTTCCCAGCTGTCAGGGCCTGCAGGGCCTACCCGCTGGGAGCTTAGTCCACTGCCTGGATCTCAGTGAGGTTTTTGGCTTGATGTTTTAGTATCCATGGAAGGTACAGGTTGTTTAAAAATCCTCAAGAACTGAGCTGGCATGATAGCTCGGTGGTATGCCCTCGCCTAGAAAGCACTGGGTCAGGGTTTGATCCCTGGAACTGAAAAGAAGATCCTCAGGGCTCATTTAAGACACATTGAATAAGAACTAGGGTCATTACAATGACATATAACAATCTCTTTGGGGCACTCACTTCATTCTGGTCAATACATCACCGGTGTGGTGGCTAGGCACTTAGTTTAGCCTAGAAATTGTGTTATATTAGTGGCTTCTCTTTCTTTTGTAAACCACAGGCAGAGCTAAGAAACAAACCAAGATTACTTGTACAGCACCAGCCTATCCTTTCTGATAGCTTTGAGATGATTTAAAAAAAAATTACTTTAAAAAATCTTGGATCAAATCAGGAATCCAAGACAAAAAGGAGAAAAAGGATTGTCCTGTTTGATCTTAAGTTTCCAAAATTGTGAACATGGGTGAAAGAGAATTCTTTAGCAAAGATGAAAATGACTTTGGTCCAGGAAACTATGGCCAAGTATGTCTTGATGTCCACACAAGCAGTTTAACAAGATGAGGCCAGACCTCTGTGGGAGGGGACCAGGAAGAGGGAGACCTGGGGGGAAGAATGTTGAGGAACCCACAAGAGGCACTTAGTGCACCAAGAGCCAATCTAATGGGAACAATAAGAAGTATTTTGTACCACTAAGAAAGCAGAGAAGGGAAGGAGAGAAAAGAAATAAAATAAAAACAAAACCACTCAGCTGCTCTCAAACCAAAATAGGAACCCTGTGTGGCTGGCTATTCACCGTGATCCAAATGGATGTGTTTCTCGGACCTTAAAATAATACTAAGACTTGAAGCCAATATTATTTTTTTCTTTTTAATTTTTCTTCCAAAGATAGCATTCTTTGAATTGTTAATTATAAGAGCTAATGGTAAAGGATTCATCATTAACACTACATCAAGAACATTACTTTTCTTAGCCACAAAATGAATAGAAAATATGAGTGGACATTTTCTCTCAGCATCTCATAACAAGATCCTAAAATTCATCTTCCCTACTCAACCTGAAATAGAAAACTCGATAATACTGCTTCAGATGGTAATTTCATATGTGCACACACACTTTCTCCTTTTAAAGCAGGAATTTCAAAGTATGAGCAAAGAATCAGAGCATACAAGTGTGCAGTCTCAGAAATTCTCTAGCTCTCATGGATACAGGTGGAGGGCCAGACAACTTCAGCTATTCAAACAGAGCACATCAATCAAGCCCAACTATGCTGAGGTTTGAATTAAAGTGGATGAGAAAAAGGAGAGTGAGTGACAGAATGGCTTATTGAAACACATCTGAAGCCTTGACAGTGATTTTTCTGTTACACTTTCCTTTCACCATGATTACCTGACAGACACTCCTGTGTGACTCTTCTCTTTGTGCCCATGGCGGGGGGAAAGCTAAATGTTTTGTACTATGTAATCAAATAAAATAACTTTTGTGTCTCTGAAAGAGCAATAAATAGGATCAGTGCTTTGCCGTAGAGAAGATAAGACTGTAAACTGGAAATTTGTCGCCTGTCATATGTTAAGCTACTCTAAGCTTGTGGTGTCTCAGGGTGCACAAAATCTCCTCCAAACTGTTAGATTTTGTAAGCATTAACAAATGTGTGAGACACACACAAATACACAACAAGAGTTTTATAGAAACAGAAAAATTAAGATAAATAGGAGAGAACTAAAGGAATCTAATACACAATAAAATACTAGCTATTAAGATTGAGGGTAGGGTAAATTTTGTTATTTTGAATAAGTGTTGTCTCAGGAAAGGTCAGAATGTAATTTGGATAATTTGCTTGGTTTTCTCCTGAATTTTCAACCTAACCATGAAAATCAAGAATTTTCAACATAATCATGGAAATGGAAAATATAATAATTGACAAGCCAGAACACATTTGCAGGCATTTCTGTGACTCAGACATGTAACTTACGGATGACAGAGCGTGCTTCAGACCGATGACCTGAGCAGAAGGGGAGGAGGTGGCATCCTGATCCATCAGCTGCTTCAGTTTCTCTCTCTCCGTTGATATGGTATTAAAAGCTGACCTTAAGGCGAAGTAAACTATGAAGATATAATCATAATGAGAAGGAATAAAGGAAGTGGCATAATTGAAAACAAAATACAGTAAAATGTTTTTCTTTTTTTAAAAAAATTTAGCCAAGTAACAGCCTCAAATATTTTGAGTGCAGAAAAAAATATCCTCTACATGGATAACAGCCCCAAATATTATACAGGACTTTTAAAAAACACATTTGCAATGTATCGCAGCAAGAGTGAACTCTGATGTAAACTACAGGCTCTGGGTGATAATGACCTGTCAATGCAGATTCTTCAAATGTAACTTGCCCCACTCTGATGTGGGGTGCTGACTGTGGGGGAGGCTGTGCCTTTATGGGAGGTGGGCAGAAGATATGGGAATTCTTCATATCTTTTTCTAAGGATCTAAAACTGCATGAAAAAAGAAAAATCTTAAACTTCACACACATATGCACATTTGCCATGATTTTTTGATTTACAGATTCTCAATGACCAGCAGTTTTTCGTTTTGTTTTGTTTGTAATCTCTAAAGACTGGAAATGGTTAAGAACAAGGCATACTGGGTATGGTAAGAATGCAGCAGAGAAACTAGACATCCCCTTAACCAGGTGATCACAATGAATTAAAAATAAAGGTTAAGTGGGCTCTGTGTGCCTCTGGATAGAACACTGTGGAAAAGACACAGCATCTTCTTTGGTGAATGTGAGCCAGGGGTAAGCAATCTGGATTTGATCATGAGGAAACGTAAGACAACTGGCCTGCATTCTTCAAAAGTATCAATTTTATAGAAGAGAAAAAAAAAATGACTGAGGAACTGCTCCCAATTAAAGAGGCTAAAGAGGCAAGAAGATGAAATGCAATATATGATCATGGATCAGATCCTGTACCAAGGGAAAAACGACATGTAACTTGACAACATTTGATTTTGATGTAGAAAGCAGAATAGATTAGAAGTGCTGTTTTAATGCTACAATCCCTGAATTAGATAACTACACTGTGGCCATGTAACAGGGTAGCCCTATGTTCAGGAAACCTAAACTAAAGTATAAAGCCATAAAGAATGACATATGTAAAAATCCTTCTCTCAAATGCTTCCAAAAAATAAAAGTGTGTATATAGAAAGAGACAGTGATAAAAATAAATGTGGCAAAATAAAAATGGTAAATCCTCGTAAACGGTATGTGAGAGCTCTCTGTACTATTCTTGAAACTTTCCTGGAAATTTGAAAATTATTTCAGAATACAGTTGCAGGACCAGAGTCCCCACTTCAACTTATGGCACTCAGCCACTCTGTTCACTTTCAAGAGCATTCAGGTACAATAGGACTTTAGCACTATTAGGTACTCAAATGCTTGAACTAAAGTTTTGACAGACATGAACACATATGGCAAAAAAAAAAAAAAAAAAAAATCCATCAGCTTTTGATCACATAATGCACAAATTACCTCCTAAGGACCAGGAAATTGTCATCTAAATTACTGTTCATGGATATCACATTTGAATATTATCTTTCCAATGTACTTTATTATGTTTTGTTTTAGAGAGGCAGGAATAAGGAAGAGATGGAGACACACTTCTCAAATGACCTGTCATTTATTGGATTCCATGGGCTTGCACTTTCAGAGGTATTGTTATCCAAGAGTGGCCTATTTAGTAACACAGAAACTAAATACACTTTATTGACTTACTTCCTGCATTTAATAGCAAGGAGAACAGCAAAGAGAACCTATCTATGTGTTGTTCTCTCTGAACTTATTTGAGGTGGTGCATTTAGTGATGAACTTAGAGCATCTTTAGAAAGTCACAATACAAAAAAGCAATTTACACACACACACACACACACACACACACAAAAATGGTGCTGCTTCTATCAACAGAAGAGAGAAGTCACTTGTTCACTCCATGACTTTAGACAAGTATATGAGGCCTGGACCCTAGTTTCCCCACATGCAATGGGATGATAACAGCATTTGCTTTATAGATTGCTATAAGGACAAACAAGATAATGCAGTTAAGGCACTTAACCCAGAGCAGGGCATGTGATAAATAATAAATGCTACTGCAATAATAATAGTGATGACAATGAAGAGACATCCATGAGGGTAAAAGTGGTGGTGATGCAGCCTCCTGATGTGGGCAGCAGCTGTAGCAGAATATCTCTTGCCAGGATAATGCTTGCAAATAACTGCACACTGAGTAGAGATTCAATGAATGAGGGACTGGGCAGAGTCTACTGAGCCAGAGAGGAGCCTCGGGAGGAGAGCAATAAGCCATGCTGTGATCTCGCTGCATTTGATGGTTTTGATGTCCCATTGGCTAAGCATCCCCATCCCCAGCATGTAGGAGCCCCATGACCTTCTCAATAGGTCCCTAGGAGTTAGGGGAGTGGCTGTTTCTTCACTGTTACATTTATTCCTCCAAATAAAATAATCATATCACTCAGCTGGCTGCCACTTTCCCAAATCGATTCTTCTGGCTTTTATATGCCCTGTTACAAAGCAAAACTTTCAACCAAACTAGAAGATTCCAACCAAACTAGAAGATTCCTTGCAGAATATGCATTATTTGTTCAAAATGTACAGCTAAGACTGTGGTGAGCAGCATAAAATAAACAGAAGGAAACTCATATACTCTTTATATTTTATTGTAAGGTGAAAATCTCTTCCTCAATCATTTGACAAAGGGGTTCAGGAGACTAGATCCCTCTGCATTACATTTCTTAAATGACCATTAAGGTCCACTCAGAGGATGATAAAGTAGCCATTCAGAGCCACTGAATGATGTAGCACACACAGAGCAATGACTTGAGGCTGCTCATGGAGGACATATTTAAGTCAACTGTCAAAGGAACAGGATCCCAAAGGCCTGGGATATTTCCTGTGACAGGAATGTCTTATTTCCAACTTGATTCTAAGTATATTAGAGACAAATAAAAATCCAAATGAATACTGTATCTATGGACACTAATAATAAACAAAGCCACATGGAAAGTCTGAGACAGAATTACAAAGAATCTCAAAGAGCACCAGAGCCACTCACCCCAGAGCATGACAGTCCCTCCCCATCCCCAAAGACCTTGCCAGGTGGTCTACAGGCCCATGCTTCTCAGAGTCCTTGCTATCTTCTGAAGCAAGTATATTCTGCTCTGGGACTTAGTCCTTCATGTTCCTAAGACATTTGCTTTGGTTTCTTCTCATTGCAAAAAGGACCACTTCCTTTTTTTGTGGGGTATTCAAGTTTCAGAAGACAATTATGGGACCTCGGTTTATTCATTTTTCCCCCAGGTTATCATTAGCCATTTCTCAGCCCCCCTTGCTGGACTAAGAGAGTGGGACTTTTGGCTGTAAGACTTAAGCATAAGTGGGTGATGTGAGCTGCACCCACAGAGCAGAATAGCACAAGCACCACACAACAGAACCTTGGTGGTCAGCACTGTTCTCCTTGCAACAGGCTTCTGTATCATACTTTGAGTGAGTTGGGCTTTTATTGGTGAGACTACACTACATGGCATATTTGGGTGGCAACAGCTGATCTGAGAGCTCTACTTCTTAACATGTTCCTTCTTTAGCAGTTTTTCAGCATCAGGAAGGAATAAGATCTTGAGGAACACAGTTATGAATGCAATGGACACCACCCCTGGAGAGGCAGTGTGAGACAGGGGAAAGAGAGTCTATAATGAGGCAAACATGAACTTAAATCCTGCCTTTAATACTTAATTGCTGTTTAGATTTTGGACAAATGCTTGTTTCCACACCTATATATTTGAATAATCCCTATATCTCAGGAGTGCTTCAGAGAAACAATGAGAAAACACACTATCAGCACTCAACGCACAGTAGGACTCTTTTTCTTTTTAATGGAAACCACTTTTTATTTGAGGTATCTTTAAAATATTAATATTCTTTTTTAAAAAATATTTTTTCAGTTATATATGGACACAATATCTTTATTTATTTTTACGTGGTGCTGAGGATCGAACCCGTTGCCTCATGGTGTGAGGCAAGCATTCTAGCACTGAGCTACAGCCCTAGCCCCTAAAATATTAATATTCTTAAAATATTTGGGATGATTTTATTTTCTGCAATCTGCTTAAGTTTCAAACCTCACAGGATATCCATGGTTCTAAAATATTTTCTAATTTATATTCCATCCAAACTGATTTAGATACGTTAGGTAATTTTACTAACTGGTCCTACAGATTTACTGATAAAGTACATGAATATAATTGCTCAGCAAGTTTACACTGAATTCTAATCTATGAATAATACATTTTAATCCATGAAAGAGGTATCATGGAGGCATAGTTGGCGTCCATATACTTAAAACAGTTCAGAAAATGACAATAATTACAACTCAATGCAAGAAAAGACTCCAGGAATAAAACAATAAGTTAATGTAATTTCTTTTTGTGCTTTAGCTTTTACATTTTTTTCTTAGTTTTTAATTATAGCTTATTTGCTGACTCATAAGTTATTTTTTAAACATTTATTTTATTTATTTATTTTATGTGGTGTTGAGGATTGAACCCAGTGCCTCACACATGTTAGGCAAGTGCTCTACCGCTGAGCCCCAGCCTCAGCCCAAAGTTTTTACATTTATAAATGAGGATTTCCCTCACCTCTTGGAAAAGAATTCAAGTCTTGTTTCCTTTCCATGTCAGAGCATGAATATCTACTTCCATCTGGAACACCCTGACTCTAGTCCCATTCTGTTCCTTGCTTTCTCACCCTAAATCTTTTTACCAAGTTTGGCCATTTCTGTCTCCGCTGCTAACAGAATAGTCTCTCATAAAACCTTGCAACAGTAAGCAACAGTGTGAATTCTCTCTGTTCAGCATAAAATAATCATAGAAGACAATGATAGAAGAGTCAGGACTGCTATTTTAGAACACTTAATAGATGAGGCAACCGAGGGCAGAAAGGTAAACCAGGAATGCACAGTTGGTTGGTAACAGAGGTGGCCTGCTCAGTCAGTATAGGCTTATTAGTCACCGTGCTTCCTTAAGAATTTTCCCAAGGACTTTATTTCCAGATTGTTAATAGCTGGTGGGAAGTACAGAGCTTCCCAAATAATATTCAAAATCACTGAGTCATGCTGGGCGTGGTGGCTGAAATCCCAGCGGCTCAGGGAGCTGAGTCAGGAGGATCACGAGTTCAAACCGAGTCTTAGCAACTTAGCAAGGCCATAAGCAACTCAGAGAGACCCTGTCTAAATAAAATACAAAAAGGGTTGGGGATGTGGCTCAGTGGTAGAGTGCTGCTGAGTTCAATCCACAGTACCAAAAAAAAAAAAAAAAAAAAAAAAAAAATCAGGTTTCATTGCTGTAGGATTTCTCAGGATCTTGACTACTTAGTTTGTATGAATCCAGAGGGAACCATATTTTCCAAACACTTTAAATCATTAAATTCTTGTTTGAAGTTTTAATCATTTTATGGGTAAAGTGTTTCATAAAATACACTTTGGGAAATGTAAAAGCTAATATATGAAAGAAAAATAATGGCTGTTAGGTTTGGTATATTTTCATCTGTTTTCTTATACAGGTGTCAACAGACAAAGCCTGAAGCTTGAACTTCGAGTACCAGTTCAACAATATGCCAAAAAATCAAGTTCACAGCCTGTCATGTCTAACAGGACTTTAAATACTAGGATAGGTATACGTTGGGTTCCACTTGGTCTACAAAACCAGGAGAAATCAGATGCATTTGACAAGTAGGTCACATAGACTGTTACATCAATGGAATTCAGCTGCTTCAAAATTAGCCCCCTAGAACAGTGATGCTGGCAAAAAAAAAAAAAAAAAAAAAGCAATAGGCCCCATCAGTAACAAAACAAGGCTTTCACAGGAAGACAGGTTAAGATGCTTGAGTTTGAAGACGTGAAAGCAGAAAAGCATGTCAGTCAGAGGACTACCAGCAAACCTGAGAGCTGTCTATGCCCTGAAGCCCCACAAGTAGGGTCCATGGAGGAGACTTCCTGCAAGTGTGAATGCACACAGCTCCTTAGGCTGCCTGTGGTATTCACAGTCCAACAGCCTAGGGGATGAGGATGTTGCTGAATAAGCAACTTGGACCTTTCTTGAAGCACTAACTTTGACCTCCTTGAGGTACGTGGTGACTCTGCAGCCAGCTGATTTCACAGAGCCCCCAAAGACAGAACAGCTGGCTGGGGGTCCATTACAGACCTTCAGAGACGTGGAGATTATATGGGTGATCAGGTGACCAGATGAATGGAGCCACTCTACACAGAACCTCTGCCCTGACGAGGCAGCAGCTTCTACCACTTGGATAAAATCCAAGGTCTTTCCCTGCAGTAGGGAGGCATCGACTTTTCACTTAAAACAGACAGTGCATATTATTAAAAAGTAATGATGTTTTAAAAGAATTTCCTCCCCATAAACCTAAAATGCTCTAAATGTAACTGTTTCTTTAAATATTAAAAAATGCCCAAGGGGCATTTAAAAAGCTCTTAAGGGGTGGGCCAGGCAACCCTTCACATTTACAGACAGACTGTATAATAGCAAAATAATCACAGATGGAAAAAATGATTTTTATCCTCTAAAACACTGAGACATTCTAGTGGTGAATAAGATAGAGTCTGAGGGAGGAATCTGTAAAAAACATGAAATGGGTTACTTTAAAAATGTAATATATTTTCTCTTTAAGAAAAGTTTAAAATGTATGAAAATTTAAAGAAAAAAGATGATAAGTACTTGTAATTTCAGCCTCCATCATGAAAACACTTCTAGAATTTTTAGTGTACCTACGTATGCCAGGCATATATCAATTTTTTTCCTTGAAAAATGGGGCCATACCTATACAATGTTTTGTAACCTTTCATTTTTATGCAATGACACACTGTGGGCATCTTTTCCATGTCTATAAAAATTAACCATGGCTACCTCCTGTAAGGTCAGAGAAACACCCTTATAAGTAAGGAGCATGTAAATTGGGGTCAGGCAAGTTGGGATTCAAGTCTCAGGCTGGCTACTTTATAATCACAAGATCCTCCTTTAACTTCTCTAAGCCTCTGGTCTCTCATCTCTGCAACAGAGATTTAAATATTTTATTGCTCAGCAGTTTTCCATTATATGGGATGTAACACGGTTTGTTTGTTGAAGGACACTGAGTTGTTTCCAGTCTTTAGCTTACACAAATAAACCTGCTCTGAACATTTGAGTATAGGTTTTTACATGGACATAAATTTTAATTTCTCTAGGATAAACACCCAGGAATGTGAATGTTGGGTTGTATGGTGAGTATGTTTAGTTTTACATAACACTACCAAACTACTTTCCAGAGCACTGCACCATTTAACATTTAATACAGCCACCAGCAATATGTAAGAGATTCTGTTCCTGTGTATCTCACCAGTATTTGATACTGCATTAAAAAAAATTAGCTGTTCTAATAGGTGTGTAGTGTTATCTCATCAATTACTTTAATTTGCATTTCCCTAATAGCTAAAGATGTTGAACACCCATTTCTAACTTTTGATTCAAAGAAACAATGCTATAGTGGATAGTCTTATTTGGATAAATTTTAAGTTAATTGGTACAAATGGACTCTTCAAAGTGAAATTGCTTGACAGGAATATTTAAAAAAATGCTTGAAACATAATATCATATTTTTCTCCAGAAAAGTGAACTGCCCAGCTTTTAGAATATGTCATCCCTTAGTATCACATTCTCCTGTATACTTTACAGTATCTCTTGATGACTTATGATACCTAATAAATGTAAATGCTGGGAAAATAGTTTTTATATTGCATTGTTTAGGGAATAATGACAAAAAAGTCTGTAGCTGTGATTTGTTTTTAGAGAAATATTTTTAATCTGCAGTTTGTTGGATCTAGGGCTTCTGTCAACTCTATAGCAAACAATCTCCCTGTCTCTTCTAAGAGGTTAAAAGGAAACTTGCGAATACACCTCCACTATCAAGGAAATGAATAAAAATTAGGTTGCTCACGTTCTTAATAGAGCAGAAAATGAACCAACTATGACATGCTCTCCAAGGACATTCCAGTTTCAGGCATGTGTCGAACACATTCATCAAACACACTAAAAAGAAGGAAAGCTCACTTACCTTTATGGGCAACATGACACAGATCTTCCTGCATTTTAGAAAACTCTGATGAGGTTTCAGAACCATCAGAATAATTTTTATCTTCTCCAAAATCTAGTGTTGACAGATTAGGATTGGAGGAGTGTAGTCTTACAGGGCCAGAAAAAGGTTTAGGGACCTAAAGTGACACCAAAGGGAGAGATTTCTGTTCAGATGCAGACTGTTCAGAACATGTACTTGATTCTAAGATTGGAACCTATTAAGGAAAGAACATTTTATAGGGAAGTCTTCCTACTTACTGAGTGTTAACTTGGAAGAAAAACAAATAAAAACTCAGGAGAAAACTTTCCACAGCAACTTGATTCTTATGAAATAAAAATGGGTGAAAAAAATCATATACTAGTTTGGAGATGATAGAAGTATTAAAGCTATGGGTTGAAAATGACAGCTAAACCTGCCAGGCTTTCATTTATACTCAGTTCCTTCCTCCCTCCTGCCATCATCACCAAGCAACTAGATGCTAATAATGAATAGGTTTTAAAATGCTCTTCTTTATTTGCACTGGGGCTTCTACAAAACATACTAGCTTCTCACGTGTGTGCATGGAATATTCTTTACTTTGAAAATATTTAAGTTCAACATATAAAGTGCTTTGATCCAAAGAGTATATACAAGAGTACATCAGATCCAAAAGCTTAGGATTTGTTTTTATTCTAACAATGTTGCTGTTTAATATGTAATATGTAATGCTATTTAATATGTAATATGCAAATCTTGGCCTGTGATTTAGCTGTGCATTGGAAAAGACAGCTCCTAGAATGACACAGTGAATTTTTGGTGGGGAACTGAAAGTCTGGAGAAAAATAGCAAGAGAGAGCTCCCACAATGTCTTGGGCCCAGAGACTGAGGCCTGTGGGTTCAGAGGGATTATAAATCCACTGAGCTTCAGCAGGAGAGGTGAGTCAAAGCACGGAGTCACAGCAGCCACAAAAACAGGACACACCCAAGCAAGAAGAGGGCAGGCAGGCTAAACATTACAGGGGAAAACCCAAAAGTCCTAGAAATGGTGGCAGTCCCTCCAACTCCATGCCATTTTCCCTTAGAACACTCTTTCCCCTGCCCAATACCCATTACAAGCTTAAACTACTATTCAGAGGGTCTAAGCAATGAGCTACATGTGGTATTGGAGAGAACAACTCCAGAGCATTCACTTGTCTGTTCTATTTAAGTCCAAGGAGCCCCAGCACATGGCATGCAGATCCAGCAGGAAAGCAGCTTGCTGGCGGAAGTAACGGTTACCTGCAGTGTTCCTTTAGCATCTTTGCCAATAGCTCTGGACCGCCACCTCCTGTGTGATCTTTTTTCCTTTTTGGGACTTTCAAAAACTCCACCCTTTGTTTCAAAACAGGAAAGAGAGGACAGACAGTAAGGTCCACCAAACCAATAGGGATAAATGCCCAGCAAAGTGACCACTTCCATCCCCTTGAGTTTGGCTCAAGCAACTGGCCAGACATGACCCATTGTTAGTCAAAGGCTGGGGAGGAGAAAGGAAGGCAGAAGCCAGAAGGCGAACAGAAGAGGGCTTGAGCTAACCTGGATGGCATTGATGGCAGGAGCCGAGTATGTCCGATGCAAGACGTCCATACTTTGTAGGAGCTGGCTCATTTCCACCAGGTAAGCATGGCAGTGTGCCAGGTCTGTGAGGGAAGAAAAGAGGAATGCTCACAATTTTCTACCAGCAAAAGGGATCACTGTGCTGGCACCAGAGATTGTTCTTTTTGTATATTAGAGTTTCTATCTGTACAGGTAGGAAACTTTAGTTCCTTTGTTACAGGAAAGGTTATAGACTTTAGTGGAAAACCAGGCTGCCTTAGTTTGAATCCACTTAATGAACTGTGATTCTTGGGCAAATGACTTAATGCTCTAGGACTCAGTTTCCTCATCTAGAGACTGGGAATCAGTACACACTTAGGTGACAGAGTTGTTTAACTGAGTTGATACATGCAGAGTACTCAGATGGCCTACAGTATGAACAAAATAAATCAGCCAGCAGCATTATTATGATTTTTTTAATTTATTTTTTAGTTGTCAATAGACCTTTACTTTACTTATCTGCAGTGCTGAGAATCAAACTCAGTGCCTCACACATGTGAGGCAAGTGTTCTACCACTGAGCTACAACCCCAGCCAAGCATTATTTTTTTAATATTTATTTTTCAGTTGTAGTTGGACACAATGCCTTTATTTGTCCTTTTATAACTTTATTTTATTTAAAATTTTTTTTCAGTTGTAGATGAACACAAAGTCTTTACGCTTTTTTTATTTTTATGTGGTTCTGGGGATCAAACCCAGTGCCTCATGTGTGTTAGGCAAGCGTTTTACCACTGAGCCACAACCCCAGCCCTAATATCTTTATTTATTTTTATGTGGGGCTGAGAATCGAACCCAGGGCCTCACATGTGCTAGGCAAGCACTCTACCACTAAGCTATAACCCAGCCCAGCATAATAATCCTGCAATAATAGGCTACTGCTACCCACTTGTAAAGACCCAATACACATTAAATGGATGTGTTGATCATGGACCTGAATGAGGATAATGAAGAGCTTCTGCAGATGTACCTGACCTGATAGAAGAGTACTCTCAAACCTGATCAGTAACTTAAAAGAGCCCACAACTGGCTGTTCACTAGATGCTTATGGATATTTTTGCTGAGGGAATTAAGGCCCAAAGGAATTAGGTAGTGACTTTTAAATTTTGGTGTCATCAGAAACACCTGGAAACTTGTTAAAACACTTGTTGTTGAGTTCCACCAGATTCTGATTTAGATCATCTGGATGGGCCTGAGAATCTGCACTTCTAATAAGTTTCCCTGCCAGGCCAATGCTGCTGGTGCAGAAGCAACATTTTAGGGACCACTTCACCAAGCTATCACTCAGGGAAGCTCACGAATGGTGTTTATTGGAAGGGTAAAGCCTCCAGCATCCATGGCTCCGGTAGAAATAATATCTATATTCAACAAGATGGAAACCAATTTTCAAGGATAAAACCTGACATCTTTCTCAATTATTGCTTTAAAATCACCTGGAGACTTTTTTTTTTCTTGTTTGGGATTGAACCCAGGGGCACTTTACCACTGAGCTATATCCCCAGCCCTGGGATCCTCCTCTGTCAGCCTGAGCGGTTGCTGGAATTGTAGGCGTGCACCACCATGCCCAACTGGAAACATTTTTTTTTTTTTAATTGCATATGTACAAGACCTACCCTTAGACAATTAAATCAGAACCTTCCCATCCCACTGGTGATCATTCTTTTTTTTGGATGAGTCTCAGCTAACTAAACTTAAGAACACTGAGATTCATTGTGGTAGGAAGGGTCAACGTTGGCTCCCTATCAAAATCACCTGAGGATCTTTGGAAAATCAGTGCCACCAGGTCCCCACCCCAGACTAATTTAAAGAATATTTTTGGAAGAGAGACCCAGGCATGGGTGTTCTTGCATTTTAAAACTATTTTGGTGATTCTAATGTGCAGCCAAGGGAGTCAACACCTACATTGTGGGGCTCTCCATTTGATCACCTATTCACTTCTGGAACACTAATTCTTAATCATGAAGGTGCATCAGAACCATTTTTGGCACTTAAAAAAAGAGAGAGCACTGTGCAGTTCAAAGCCCTGGAGAGCCGGATTCATGGACCCAGGTGGAAGTTAGGCATCTGTACTCAAAAGACTAGAAAAGCAAACCTGTCTCATGGACACACAGGCAAGGATGAAAAGGTCTGCAAGGAAAGTGTCTTTTGTTGGCAATGAGTGCAACCTTAATTAGCAGAATACAGGAGCAAATGAGACTAGAGAAGGGAAGGTCACAAATCCATCTGAGGGTAAACAAACCAGCATCAGTTCAGAGCCATGACAGAAAGAAGCCAAGGTTTCTGGTCACTTACCTTTTGAGCATTTTTCCATGTCCTCTGAAGACTGTAGCCATAAGGGAACTCGTGTCTCTCCACCACAAGAAAATGATAAATTGCTTCCAGTTTGAAATGAATTCTGCTTTGATATACTGCTACGCTGTTCCACAGATGACAAGAGCACATTATAAATGAAAACAGAGCCCAGTAGGGACACTTTAGGGTAAAGGATAATAGAGTGGGTTAGTTGCTAATAGACACCATCTGCCTATAAGGGGAAGAAGCTTCTAGCAAAATATCACATAGGAGGCCCTTATATCTTTGGCTGTTACCCCACCTTGGCCATACTATGCTATAAGACCTCAGCTGATGGTCCTTATTTTTTTTTCCTGTCAAATGGTAATACCAAAGTAATTATATAAATGTTTGAAAATATTCTGCAATCCTAAATGACTGTACATGTACGTACTGCATTTTACAACCAGGTAAGAAAATCAAGGTCAAACTGGTCAAAAGACTGCTACAGAGATCTGGGATATTGAACTGTTCCTTATATACTCTCTCACCATTAACAGATGCTCATCTCATCTGGATTCTGACTCACTGGACAAAGAGAATAATTAAGTACCAGCCCAACTTCCCTGTTCCTGCCCTCAAACCCTTCCTGAGACCTAGCTCTTGAGATGGGCCTCCCTCTTCAAAGCTGACCCCCTTTCATGTTCATTATTGGCAAAACACTTATTACCTTCCTACTAGAAATGGAGTCAAATGTCCCAGGTGCAGAATCTGTGACAGTCGACCCTGGGAAAAAGTGATTAACTTCATGTGGAAACATGGCGATTTCATTCTGGCGATACATTCTGTGGTGACGAAGTTTGGATACCCACTCATCAAAGACTTCTTCTGACTTCACCTAAAATGAGTTCAATTGAAAGGAAGAAAACAGATAGTCCCTTGCTAAAAGGAAAACATATTCATCAAATTGAGGTCAGTATTCACATGCTCTTTATAATGGGGCACATGTAGAAATAGCCTCTACTGACTACATTTGTTGTGGTCCACGGGAAGAAGTTTGAGGAGGAAATAGTAAAACTTGTCCTCATAAAGTATATATTTAGGTTTTATTTGAGAGGGTCCAATTGATGTTACATACATTCAAGTATATGTATATATATTTTTATATAAATATATATTTCAATGTCATATGTGTATAAACATATATTTCATATATATATTTATATATACATATATATGTACTAGAGATTGAACCCAGGGGTTCTCTACTACTGAGCTACAGCCCTGTCCCTTTTCATTTTTTATTTTGGGACAGGGTCTCACTAAGTTGCCCAGGCTGGCCTCAAACTTTCAATCCTCCTGCCTCAGCCTCTCAAGTCACTGGGATTACAGAAGTATGCCACTGCACCAGATTTGTTATGCTATTTTAAAGAAACCAAAACAGTACTAGTTATATTAAACAACAAATAAACTGAAATTTATATTTGTCTCTTATAGCATTTCTGATTCTTTAGTCCCAGTGTTTCCTATCCCCTCTGAATATTACTGGCACCATATTTCTTTCTAAATTCTTTTATAACTCAAAAATTTCAGATTAATCCTTCTGAACTGGAATAAATTAGTAAATTCTTTCTAAAATATTTAACCTTGTTCTACTCTGACAAAGAGGATGTTGCTGAGAAGTTATGTTAATGAATGTGAAAATTACTTAAAAGAATGTTTTTCCCACTCTCAGATAAAGAAAAGTATCTGATAAAGTGTTATGAAGCATAGTCATCATTATTGTGTACACATTTAGTCATTCTCTCCACAGATGAGTGACTATCAATTTCTAATTCCTGGGAAGAATGTATTTCATAATTTGTATTAGAAAATATTTCAAATGTTCATAAAAATGCTAGAAAGAAAAGAGAAAGCACCTATGTACCATAGATATTTCTTAAAAGTCAATATTTGTGTGTGAGAGAGTATATTAATATTTTCAAGGTGAAAAATGATAAATACCTGCATATTAGAGCATAAATACTCATGAAGCTGCAAATTCAAATAACCCACAAGGATGTCTGGTTGGTTAACTTCCAAGATGAAAAATTCAGTCAATCCTGTGAAAATCTTTCCCAATGCTACAGCTGAGAACAGGGTGTGCAAATAAACATCGGAGGCATCATCCATCGAGAAACTGTCTGGTTGGCTTCTGTGTGGATGAGGAGCGGCACCTACAGGACCCAAGGCTCCCATGTGCCGTTTACAGAAAGAAGCAACACGGACATCAGCTAGGTGTCTCCTCTATCTTATGTTCCTGAAATGCACTTCATTTCCCAGATGTGGTTAAGAGAAATTTTGTGAGAGTCTTTTGTCATACTTGCAGTGATGTACTCTCAGAGGCCCTTAATGCCAAAGTGCTCATTGTGACTCATCTTTTATTGGTTAAACAAGGTAGAAGAATAACAGCACTGCAAGCACTATATTAAAAAGATGACCATGGTTCTGTTCCAGCCCCTCCAGTAATTCCAGGACTATGGAAGGACAGTCCTGTGACCTCTCTGTTGCCCAGACCCCTCGTCTATAAAATGAGAGGGTGGGACTGGAGGACCTGACATTGAAGCCATGAACTGGAACCCTCAGGTAACTACACCCTAACACTCACAGCCTCAGCTAATATTCAGAAGAAAGAATAAGCCAAACAGATCCAAAAGTGAATCACGCAGAAATTTAATTTATCATGATATTAGTATTCAATGTATCCTAAGACATTTGAACTCTTTAAAAATTAGGAGTTAATAATTATTTTTATTCTATTAACTAGAAAAGTATATAAACAAGAACCTAATATTTCCTGACAATGTCAAAACACAGTACAAAGAGTAACTAGAAGTACACGGAAAAATAACCCAATGATGCTGCAATCTGTATACGGGATAAAAATGGGAGTTCATAACCCACTTGAATCAAAGTGTGAAATATGATTTGTCAAGAACTATGTAATGTTTTGAACAACCAACAATAAAAATTAAAAAAAAAAAGAAAAATAACCCAAGCTGTTCTTTTAGAAACTGACTACGAAATGGGGCTTGGGGTAGGGTTGGGGTTAAAATTTGTCCTATACTTTTTTCCCCCAAGATTCTAGGTTGTTCCCCCATCACTTCACACTAGTTATCTGCAAGCAGGAGTGATTTCATCCCCCGGAGACGCTTGGCAATATTTGGAGACATTTTTGATTGTCACACTTAGAAGGGTACCGTCAGCATTCAGTGGGTTAAACAAGAGGCAAGCATGCTGCTAAACATCCTACAATGCCCAGGACAGTCCCACAATAAAGAATCATCTCGCCCACAGCGCCAACAGTGCTGAGGTTGAGAAACCCTGCTTTACAGTGAGCTAATGCAGAGATTCAGGTGAGGCTAAGGGACAGGGTGCACTTGACGGTCTTGCCCAGCCAAACACATGCATGTGTTAGGCCCATGTTGCTCATCATGCACATGCTGGAGGTGACAGGGACACATTAGGACCTGGAGCTCATGATCTTGCACTTTTATTTTCCTAAAGTTCAGCCCCAAATCCAAAGTAAGTTGGCCAAGTAAGAAAAGTCTTAGTATCTTCTCAATTTCTAATACTGTTTCCACCTAATAATAAAAAACAGTAACTAAACTTGTTGAGTTTACTGTGGGCCAGACATTATGCCAGTTTTTAATATGTAGCCCTATAAGAGGAGCACTTTAGAGTATAATACTTTTTTTTTTTTTTTTAGGTAAGAAAACAGACTTTCAGAGATTAAATAATTGACCAAAGTTCAACAGCTTGTAAGCTGCCATGTCAGGATCTAACCAGTTCTGGATCTCAAGCTTCATGCTTTAACTTCCTATACCACTTAGGGGAGAGAAAAGAAGGTAAACAGATTGAGACTCACACTTGAAGAGAAAACATTTCTGATATTTCTCTATAGTATGAGAATTTAAATGGGATCCCTATAAAATTAGCTGAAGTTGTAAGATAGGGCTCCACAGATTAAATATTGTATTTCAGGGAACATATTTTAACCTATGGTAAATGGTTCTTTATTAAAGATGGTGCTGCAGGTGGAGAGGTGATATGGAAACATGATTTTTTTTGTTATCGATCACTGCACAATCACTAGAGAGGAGGAGTGGTATTTGAAGGATGAGATAAGAAGAATGCTAACCCTTCAAGCAATGTTCTACACAATGGAGAACGGTCCCATCATAATATCAACAGGGTCCATTAGGAACACTTTGGTGATGAATATCTGCATATTGGCTGAATATCCAAAAGGCATCACTGACTATATAGTGACTGACAATCTCTCCTCAGTATAAAGGGGCTCTGTACAACCTTGCTGGGGGCAGTGGCGCACACCTATGGTTCTAGCTACTTGGGAGGCTGAGGCAGGAGGATTACTTAAGTCCAGAAGTTCAAGGTAGCCTAGGCAACACGGCAAGACCCTGTATCAAAACTACAACAACAAAAACAAACCCCCAAAAGGGCTCTGCACATGGGAGAAAGCACCTGGAAAGCAGCCTCACCTTCAGATGGTAGATGTGCTCCTCTGTGTCAAGATCGATGCACTTGGATGACTTCTTTACAGACATCACCGAGAGCCCCACATCAATACAGCCATGCAGCTTTTCTCTTTCTATCTACAGACCATGAAAAGGGTCACTTGAGAATCACGGTGTTATAAGTTATAGTCACTTTCCCCAATCTCCCCACCCCTCCCCTCACCTTCCGCTTCCACTAACACAGACGCTACCACTGATGGAGCACTTGTGTGAGCCAACACTGAGTTCGGCACACACACTGTCTTCTGCAGTCTGTGAGGTAGGAGGCACTCTCCATGCTTCACAGAGGAGAAGACTGAGGTGCAGAGAGGTTCAGTGACAAGTAGTTCACACAGCCGGTATGGGAGGAAACAAGGAACCAAACCCCATGGCTTGACTCCCAGGACAAGGAATGAACCTGTTTGCTGCACTGGCTCCTGCTGAATTACTGTCTGGTGTCCACGTTCATTTAGAAGGGACTTGAAAGGAAGAGGATGGACAGGAGGCTAAGAGAGGTTAGGAGGGGAGGAATGGCAGAGAGAAGAACCCTCCAGGGGCAGGCCTACTGGCCATTTAGAGCCCTTACAGGGTGACTGCCTAGTGTTACCTCCAAGAGGAACGTCTTGTTGGCCAGGGCCTTTTCTGCCAAGACCCTCAGTCACTATAAAGAGTGGGAATGCCAATCGTATTAGTTGCAAGGATGTCCTTTCCCACTTGAAAACCGCTAAGTCCAGAACAGACCCGTGGCGACATGGTGGGGTCTTAGACGCATCCCTGACCTCCACTTGACAGGGGGACTGAGCCCACCTAGAACTCAGGGACAAGACAGCAGGGGTCTGGCACTTCTGTTCCTCCTGGAGAAACTACTGCCCTCTGTGGTTTCCAGTTCAAGGCACTGTGACCCTCAACTGTACACATTCTCACTTCTGAGATGACGACGAATACCCCTGCAGAATTCTTCAGTGGCATGCTGAACCAATGAGAAGACTTACATCTGTTTGGCTCTTGGCATATTTCAAGATTCCTTTGTCGAGGTAGAAAAATCTCTGGGGGAAGAGAGTACAATTCATTGAGATGTTCCACTGAAGCATCCCCGTCCTGCTCTCAGATTTCAACTTCAAATCAAATGTTTAAGTGCCCCAGAACAGGGTGCTGAGTGGGGTATGGTGGGCACATGTAAAGGAGAGGCCAAGGCCGATGTCTTACCTTGTGCCAGCCTTTTAAGGGCCACTTCCTCTTTTTCAGCAAAAATCCTTTCTGAACAGGCGGCTCCTGGGTGTAATTCATCTCCCCCCTCAGTCCTTCCACCACTTCCCAGCTGTCCTGTTCCAACAAAAGAGTCCATGTTAAATATCTATCTTTAAAAAAATAATAATAACATAAAAAAGCATTTCATACAATCAGAAAATCCATCAAAGATGAGCCTGGCTGTGTTTGTTGGGAAAAAGAAATTCAAATTTAATTTCCATACAGTCCTTGGACTTTAAAGATTTAATGCTATCATTCAGTGGCATTGAATTTGATTTTTTTTAAAGTTCTCTTTTAGAAAGGAATGTTCCTTTCTCTTTTTGTGTTTGAACCTTGACAACCACAGCTAAAGGGAAAGATTTTACTGCAAGTTCTATTTTTGATCACCTTGACATCAGCACACAATTACTGTTCACTCACTAGACTCCAGTCTAAATGTTAACCAAAAGCTACAGGCATCAGGATGGGAAGGATGTGTGTGTGTGTGTGTGTGTGTGTGTGTGTGTGTGTGTTAGGGTTGACTTAAGACATGGCCAAAAAGTATGAGACTGGATGCAAGTTAGTAAGCATGACAATTTGACTGAAATAATAATTTAGTTGACAATTAATTGTCTTCAAAATTGAGTATTTAAGTAATGAAAATCTTGAAGCATCAAACAGATGATTTGGCAACAGGTGTTTTCACCCTATTTTTCCAGAAATAAATTTTTTTCTCATTTTCAAAAACTTAACTTTTTTTCTTTTTGAGTCATTTGTAGTTTTGAAGAGATACAAACAGTTGTTGCAATTAATCTTCCATTATGGTTATTTACATAATTTCAACTAATTGAAAACAAATTTTAATTTCAAAAACACTAAAAATTCTGAAAATTTATTTTAGAATTCATAAGTCATTGCTAAGTTATAAGATAAACCAAAATCAGCAATAACACAGTTACTGAGAGTTACTTTTACAAGTATTATGTATGCTTTTTATTGGGATATAGTGTATATGAAATGTACTCTGAAGAGTTCAACTTGAATTTACACACACTTCAGTAACTACCTTCCAGATCAGTTACAAATCTTTTCCTACCTGGCCAAGATTTCACATTGACTTCCCTGCTCTGAGTCCAAGCTCCAGGCTCCAGGCAGAGGCCAGAGGTGCCTGGAGAGAGACAGTAAGCCTGCAAGGTAGGCAGACCTGCGACAGACCGGCGGATCAGGCCCAGCGGCCTGCCGGCGTGGTACACACGTCACCCCAATTGGAGTAGGGGCAAAGCAGAGCCGCCGCCCGCACCAGGAACAGGCCCAGCGACCTGCCGGCGTGGTAGTCACGACACCCCAATTGGAGTAGGGGCAGAGCAGAGCCGTCACCCGTGCCCGAAAGGTGGGCAGACCTGCAACCGACCAGCGGGACAGGCCCAGTGGCCTGCCGGTGCGACAGACACGTCACCCCATTTGGAGTAGTAGCGGAGCAGAGCCTTAGCCCGCGCCCGGAACAGGCCCAGCGGTCTGCGGGTGTGGTAGACAAGTCACACCAATTGGGGGGGGCAGAGCAGAGCCGCCGCCCGCGCCTGCAGGGTAGGCAGACCTGCGACCGACCGGCGGATCAGGCCCAGTGGCCTGCCGGCGTGATACACACGTCACCCTAATTGGAGTAGGGGCAGAGCAGAGCCGCCGCCCGCGTCCAGAACAGGCCCAGTGACCTGCCGGCGTGGTAGTCACGACACCCCAAGTGGAGTAAGGGCAGAGCAGAGCCGCCGCCCGCGCCTGCAAGGTAGGCAGACCTGCGACCGACCGCCAGAACAGGCCCAGGGGTCCGCGGGCGTGGTAGACACCTCACACCAATTGGAGGAGGGGCAGAGCAGAGCCACTGCCTGCGCCTGCAAGGTAGGCAGACCGCCGCCCGACCCTGCAAGGGAGACTTTTCAACTATACAAGAGCAATATAAATATATAGGGGGAAAA